ATATCTATTAATTACACTGCACCCCAGCACGGCTCAGAAGCTGGATGCTTTTCCAACGGCATCAGCCTGAGATTCAGCCTTTAAGACATTCACTGAGGAAACTCCTGTGCGCTGCTCTATTTTCTAAAAAGCATTCTAAAAAGACTAAAGTGACACCTAAAATTAACTTGAAGACAGTGGTGTTGCGTGTATGTACCTGGCAGTGTTCCACGATCATCTGTGCCTGATCAAATGCTTCTGAATAAAGAGAGCTTTTTTTCTATCATGGTAATTTCCTCCAGCAGCAGTATCAATAATGCAGCAAGAGCAAAGCTAATGGGAAGTTGGGACACCAGAAGTATGAAGTGTTCCACAAAGATGTTCTTTTCACCAAAATCAATTCACATGTCAGAATCCTGTCTCAGAGGAGCCAAATGCTGCCAAGGGCAAGTACATGGAACTTTGCACCCCTTGCTTTCACCCCCTCCCCCCCGGCCCCAAGCACACTACCCTCCCAGCTGCCAACTGTGTTGTGCTCAGCTGAAGCTTTTACATATTTAGCAATGAGTCCATCTTGTCTGTCTTCCAGGAACTTGTCCTGCCTCCCCTTGACCCACATAACACCATTCTCTGGCAGGAGTTCCTCAGCTCTGCTCCCTCTCCTGTGAAGGAAGGGGAAAGCAGCAGGTGAGGAACGTGTATCCACAGCGGCTGCTATTCTCCTCTTAACACTGCATGAACCAGTCAGAGTTAAAACAGGTTAATACCATCCAGTCTTCCACTGCAATCATACCGTTCTTCAGCATTTTTACAAAATACTTCTGCATCTGAGTGCTGTCAGCTAGAAACAACTTACTCTTTGACCATGAAACTTAATTGTACCAAATACAAGCAAAACATTTTTTTTTTTAAATCCCAAGTAAACAGTCTGTATTCTAACACACAATAGGTCTGTACCAATTAAATACAGTATGGCAGTATATAAATTACAGTTCTTTACAGTAAATAGTAAAATACGAGAGTCCGCTTACTGTACACAACAATCAAAGAAAGAACAGCAGCTTTTCAGTAAGGTCCAAGGTATCTCAATCATTCACTTGCTAAGAAACAAAGAACAACGGATACAGAAAGCCATTCACTTCACTCGTTTTTTACCGTGTTACTTTACAAATATCCAGAACGCTTGTACAGGCGTCTACAGTATCTACATGTGGAACAACATTCTTAGGAACTCATGAGCACCAAACATAAATCCCTCCATCATTCCCATTATTAAAATAAACTTTACAGATTAAAATTACTTTAGCAGGTTCTATTTCATCTTGATAATAACCAGCAAGTAACAAGTGCAAAGTTTGCAGTCATGATCCATTTACCACTTCTTTGTTGCCCCATTTCCCTGCTACACCCAAAAAAACACCCTCCCACCCCCCTCAAATGTTGTCCTCTCACACCCTTGCAGTAATACTGGTTCTGCAGTCAAACCGCCCAGCTGGCTTATGTTAACATACGAAATGTCAGACACACAGCTTCAGGCATTGTCTGTCATTTCAGTCCCAATGCCAAGTCAGCACAGTGGCAGGCCTCTAGGAAGACAAAAAATACGAAGCAGTTGGATATTTCAGTGTGCTTAAACACGGAACATAAGGCTGCACGGTGCCCAGTGACTAAAGAAACATGGCACCAAGTTATCAGTTAAAACATTTACAATAGAAAGATATAAACAGCGAATGTGTCAGTCTAAAACAAGTTCTTTGGTAATTAAGAACAGCAAACCGTAGCTTTTTTTTCCCAATATGGATTTACATCCTGATTTTTCCGCAATAAAATATTTTTTGTTGTTTAAAATATATCTCCCAAGTTGTTGCGTAACAAATAGTCCCGTACCTCAGTTATCTACAGATCAGCTTTAACTGTCATTTTAGTGTGCAGCTGTATCTGCTCAGTGGCAGACAAACTATAGATACACATTCATATATATATATAATATATATATTATTTATAAAAAATTAGAGAATTAAGTCAAGGACTCTAGAGAATACACATTCCATATGGACAGATTAAAATGTACAATAGCTTCAAAAATCCATAAAGTTTTCTACACAGTGATGCGTGTAGTAAGTGCAAAAATACTGCTGTTTAGTTAATCCAAGACTTCCTGTTCTCCTGTTTCCTAGAAAAAGCAGAAGCTGCTGCATCTCCTGAATGGCAGAGGATTTCTCCTCCTGTTTTAGGAGTGGATGACGAGCCTTGAAGCACAGAACTTCTCCGTTTCTCTAAAGTGGAAGATGCCTGAGACCGTGAAGTGCTACTCCATTTTCTTGTGGAAGCTGGTGCTTTGCTGAGGCGCCCAGGACGAACAAAGACACCGTGTCGTGGTTTGCAGTGGAAGTACTCTCTGCCTTTCACAGTTCCATCATGCTTCCCTTCAATGGAAATAGAAGCGCAGAATTAATTGTTGGTACTTTCATTAGCACATATAATTGTAGCATTGAAGTGTGAATATCCTTGGCTATCTGTTAAATAGCCAAGATTTTCAATGCTGTGAAACCAGATGCATAGCACACACTAGGGAGAACAAAACCTGGCAAGGAGGGCTTCAATTGTGAACAAAAAGATGATTTCCTAAAACATTACTTTGTTAACTAACAGTTTAAAAAGTCAAACGTTTCTTCATTTTACAAAACAAAATATCCTCAAAACCAATGGCTTACAAAGCTTAAAACTTGGCTGTGAAAGAAACTTCCAGTGTCAGTGTTAATATCCATTAAACTACTAAAACCATCATCTTTTTAAAAACATCTGAAGCGTTTCTGTAGGAATCTCTCAACCCTTGCAGAGCACTGACTTTTTCTGACCCCAACCAACCGAAGTTGAAGAAAATCTGTGCTCCATAATTAAGCTTTCCCCAGTGAGGGGGTGAAATCTCTGAAAGCTACAGACAGCAAACCTATTTGACAAGTCATGTCCATTGTTAGTACTGCCCACGAACATGCATGTTGATTTAAAAACAAAAAAAATATCTGCCAGTTTTAGGCTTTGCTTGCTTTCTGATCTATAAAAATAGATGGATGCCAACGGGAACTATCATAACATGCAAAAGCGTTTTTCTGCATAAAGCAAGAAGAACGGGGCTTTATGACAGTTAAAAACTAACCCTTAGCAAAGTATTCCTATAAACAGAAAGCCTAGAACTGGGTGCATCAGATTCCAAACCCACACGAAATTACAGGTATTTCCCAAGACTGAACAGCATATGAATGTAGTTTAACTTTAAAAACAGATCATGCTAACTGTGTGGATAATCCAGAGCACATTCAGTCTTACCCAGCTGAACATTTAGTTCAACTCCAACCCAGATTCCAGTTGAAAAATCCACCGTTCCAACATATCTCACCGTGCCCGTCTTATTACTTCCAACACAGACTTGTTCACCCACTGCCACCCAACTAGGCAGGACGTGGGCTTGATCTGCAGAAGAACCTTCTTCACAGTCAGAACCATCCAAGTGGTCCTTCCCAATAAAATCATCTACTGAAGCGTCAGGATAAGTCTCATGGTCTGAAGTCTCTTTTACCAGTACAGAACACAAAGGGCTTTCCACAGCCTCTGCAAGCCTGTCGCCTGCTGCTGCTGCAGAGCCCAGCGGGCCCACGCACGCGCCCTGCTCCTCGTCAGTGCCTCGGGGTAACTCCGAGGCACGCGCTCCATGAGAGGACACAAGGGAACACGACTGGAGAACTGCCGAATGGTCAAAGTCCTTTCCGTCTTCGACACCCATGAACTCTGTAAAGGAGTGATCTTCCAGAATGTCCATCGTGTGCTCAACTGTTGCTTCACATGCTGAAAATTCAATTGTACGACAGGTATTTTTGCCATCTGAGGAACCTGAAGCTGAGAACAATCCAGCTCTGGGTAACTGCTGAGAGTCTCTGTCAGTGTCATCAAGGGACAGTGGTACTTGTTCCGTTAAGGCACTGTTTTGTTTCAGTGGTAACACAGGTAACTTTTCTCTCGCCAACTCCTTTTCTGACTCTTGACATTCCTTGTTCGAAGAGGGTCTTAAATCATGTGCAAGAGATGATCCTGAGGGATCGCTAGAGTCCAGCTCCTTCATATGACTGGCTAGCTGGTCTGTGCTATCACTACAGGGAACAAGCATGTCAGACAGAGTAGCGTTAGAGGCACTGTGGGAAAAGTAGCCACTAGTAATACTGCTAGTGGTGGGGCTGCGGGATACCTCTTTCTCAAGAACACGTGAACTCAAGAAGTCTGATTTAGAAGAAAACCATTCCCTGTTCTCCAGGCTAGCATTGTAAACACTGAAGTCAGCAAACTCCTCCGGTACATAAGGTCGGAAATTTTGAAAACTTTGTGGACTTATCAGCTTCTTATTAATGGCCTCCAACTCACTGTCTTCCTCCTCCGAGTCCTGCAAAAGAAGAGAGTGTTGCATGGGATTAGGAACCTATAGGAGCAACATTTTCAAAATAACCTAACCTGCTTTGATTTTTGCCTTTCTTAACGTGGAGAAATATATACCTTTAATATTCTTTAACTGAAGAATGGAAAACACGTCTGAAAAGAGCTGCTGGGAACATATCCTGTCTATACTGAGCTACTCAATTGTTAGAAAATAAAAAGAAATTCTAAGTCATTCAGAAAATATAAAGCATTAAAGTTTGGCATAAGGAAAGCTCACAAGAGGAAAAAGTTATAGGTTTACATATTTTCATCGTACTCAGGTTTTTAAAGCTATGTATTATAAACTTCTTCCCGCAATTTAGACTCATTAAACCCACTGAAGGTATTCTATAGAACTAATTGACAATCTCCCTAGATAAACATAAATATGAATGGAAGAGGCCTTACAGGGTCTCAGCAGCAATATTATGTATTTATCAACATATTGACTATTAAAAACTATCCTGCACAATGGGATTTTCTATTAATCTGATACCAATGAGGCTAAATAAGTTCACTTACCCCTTGCTATCACACCTGAACATGTTCACAATGTTTGGAAGTAAAGGCAAAAGGGTCAAATATCACAAAGAATCTTCAAGGAAGCATTTGTGTTCAAACATGTACTTGTGTAGAGGGAAGTAATCAACACTAATCAATCTGGCACAATTTGGACGCAGCTCCCTGAATTTCCCTTTGATAACAAGTGGTGATGCACAGCGACCAGCCCACAAACGTGGCTTTCACAGAGCCCATCTGAAGCTGAGGAACTTCAGTCTGTCAAGATGCATCTGAAGAAAACCCAGCAACATAGCTGAGTTGCTCCCCCAATATAAAATACTGCAGGCAGGACTCCACATGGATGCTTTTTAAAGTACTTCCTTTTTCATATAACTACATGTATTTATTTATACATCTATATGCATATAAATCCATGTGTGTATATATATATACACACATGTATCTATGTGTACACACATATATATATAAAAGTTAGTTTACAGCAAATTCCCACTGGAAATATTTTCAGAAAAATGAAAACTGCTGAAGAACTTAAAGTTTAGAGGAACTCAAGCAGCTGTTATTTCTCTATTCCTTTATCTGCATCATGGATTTCAACTACTGATCAAGGCAGATCCTGTGTGATAGCTAAAGCAGTTCGATGCTTTCAGATACCTGCCATGACTCGTTGATGGAAAAAGAAAAGCAGAATACTCAGCCAGATGACCAATGCATTGAGAACAAATACATCAAGTTTAAGATAAACATTCTCTTGAAAATGTTTCCTACGCTTTGTAACAACCAAGGACTGTGCAAATAACTGTACAACAAAGCTTCAAACACATAGCAAATAGCTTTGTTCAGCCTGCACATGTCGGAACGATCACAGAATCATTTAGGTTGGAGGTACCTCTTGAAGTCATTTAGTCCAAACCTCCCTGCTCAAGCAGGGTCAGCCAGAGCAGACTGTCCGGGACTGTGTCCAGTTGGGTGGGTTTTGGGATCTCCAAGGATAGAGACCGTACAACCTCTCTGCACAGCCCATTCCAGCGTTTGACCACCCTCACAGTAAAAAAAGTGTTTACTTGTGTTCAGATGAAGTCTCGTGTGTTTTAATTTATGTCCGTTGCCTCATGTCCTGGCACTGGGAACTACTGCAAAATGCCTGCCTTGTCTTCGTTCCCTCCCATCAGGTATTTTTATGCTTTGACAAAAAGTCCCCGAGACTACTCTCCTCCAGACTGAACAGTCCCAGCTCTCCCAGCCCCTCCTCACACATCAGATGCTTGAAGCCATTAATCATCTTTGTAACCTTCACCCGACTCAACTTCAGTAATTCCTTTTCTTTCTTGCACTGGGGAGCCCAGAACCAGACACAATACTCCAGATACGGCTTCCTTAGTGCTGAGTAGAGAGCAAGGATGACCCCCTCCTTCAATTTGCTGGTGATGTCTGGTATACTGTTAGTCTTCTCTGTCACAAGGGTGCATTGCTGGCTCACAGCCAGCTTGTTGTCCACCAGCACCCCAGGCTCAAAGCCCCTCCGTCTGATCAGCCCCCAATACGTACTGGTGCCTGGTGTTATTCCTCCCCAGAGGCAAGACTCTGCATTTCTCCTTGTTGAACTTCATGAGACTCCTCTTCACCCACTTGTCCAATTTGTTGAGGTCTCTCTGAATAGCAGCTCATCCCTCTGGTGTATCAGCTGCTTCTCCCAGTCTTGTATCATCTTGCATCAAACTTGCTGAGGGTGCATTCTGTCCAATCATCCAGGTCATTAATGAAGGTGCTAAACAGTACTGGCCCCAGTATTGAGCGCTGGGCTACACTGCTTGTTACTGGCCTCCAGCAAGACTTCGCATCTCTGATCACAACCCTCAGGGCCCAGTCACTCAGATAGTTTTTAATCCACCTCACTGTCCACCTGTCCAACCTGTACTTTGTCAGCCCACCTATGATGATGTTATAGAGATAGTGTCAAAGGCTTTACTAAAGCCAAGATAAACAACATCCACTACTCTCTCCTTATCCACCAAGCTGGTCACGTTACAGCAGAAGACAATTGAGGCTGGTCAAGCATAATTGCCTCTTCATAAACCCATGCTGACTACTCCCAATCACCTTCTTGTCCTTCATGTGTTTGGAAATGTTTTTTAGGAGGATTTTCTCTATCACATTCCCAGAGACAGAAGAGAGGCTGACCAGTCTGTAGTTCACTGAAGCCTTCATCTCGGTCCATCTTGAAGACAGAAGCGATACTTGCTCTCTTTCAGTCTTCAGGTACCTCTCCCAATTGCCATGACATTCAAAGATAATTGAGAATGGCCTTACAGCAACACGAGCTGCTCAGCTCCCTCAGCACTCGCGGGTGTGTTTACTTAAACAAAGATGCAGTTAGTTTAAGTGCTCCCCAACCTGGTGGTCCTCTGCCAAGGGGAAGTCTTCCTTGTTCCACACTTCCCCTTATGTTTCAGAGGCTTGGGATTCCTGAAAGCTAGTTTTACTGATAAAGATTGAGGTTAAGGCGGCGTTGAGTACGATGGCCTTCTACAAGTCATTTGTGACCAGTTCCCCTGCCCTGTTCAGCAGTGCAATTAACTAAAACATCCTCACAGGTATATATTAGGAAACATATGCTTAGGTGACACCATCTTTCTCCTAACCTGGAGGTGTTTTTTTCTCAGTTTTTAATTGATTAAAAAAAAAATAAATTGTAAAAATGTTCAAAATTACTTCATTTTTCTTTTATCTTGCGATCTTTCAAGTGATCACTTGCTATGGCCCTTATCCATAACAAGTTCTCATGTTCGATCCCACCATATTCAAGCTCATAGCAGATGCAATTCAGTCATATTACCCATGCAGAATGGCCTCTCAAGCTGAATCAAGATTTCAAACAATATTTAATTTTCGTTAGTATAGCAATCAGTATCTGAAGAAGATGTCTCTACTTGTCTACGTATATCTGACAAATCCAACCAGATTTCAGATTACTAATATTTGCTCAAGTAAAGGCTTGGCATCCTTTGCTTATGAATTTTTACAGCTCTGCTTCAGAGTTATTTCTCATACGGAACTTGGATGAACGCATTTTGGAATTATTTACTTCTCTGCAGAGGAGTGATAGTGTTACGCAATGCCACACAAGACTATTGAAAATTATTTATATTATTGAAAATCTGGTTCTTTAGGTGTGAAATCTACAGGTAGTCCCTTTACAAGTAAAGGGAAAAATTCCTATCCACTTTATTGGGACTGTGAATACCCTTCCAAGCACTAAAGCATTACACAAGGCATCTTTTTTGCATATTGGAGTATACCTGTTGCTCATGTCTGAGGGACCTCTTCTCAATTATTCTGCTTACTTCTCTTTCACTCTTATTACTTATTGTCCTGGTTTCGGCCGGGACAGAGTTAGTTTTCTTTTTATTAGCTAGAATAGCTGTGTTTTGTATTTAGTATGGGATTTGGTATGAGAAGAATGCTGATAACATACTGATGTTTATAGTTGTTGCTAAGATATCAAGGACTTTTCAGCTTCTCGTGTTTTGTCATTGTGCAGGAGCACAACAGGCTGGAGGGGAGCATAGCTGGGACAAAGGGCCCACAAGTCCTGTCTTCGGATTCGAGTTTAGGCTTAGGATTGAGGCCCAAATAGGCCAGTGGAATATTCCATATCATACAACATCATGCCCAGTATATAGATGAGGGTTGGCTGGGAAGTCGCTCTTTTTCTCTCCCCCTTCACATCTCTCCTGGGGGCTCTTGCTCTTCTGGGATTGCAGTTTCAGGACTTCTCTGGTTTAGGATGGCTAGCTGGGATGGGTCGGGCGTTGGTCAGCAGATGGTGAGCAATTACACTGTGCATCACTTGTTTGTATATATTATTATAATTTTTGTATATTATCATATATTATTATTATCAATATTACTTTTAATTTAATTTTATTTCAATTATTAAATTGTTCTTACATCAACCCATGAGTCTCCTTCCCTCTTCCCCTTTAATTCTCTTTCCCATCCCCTGGGGGTGGGGGAAGCTGAGCCAGTGGCTGCGTGGTGTTTAGTGGCCAGCCAGGTTAAACCACAACACTTAGGAAAAGTAAGTTTTACTCTATGCAGAACCTTGTAGTTTGTTGTTTTCAAAATATTACAAACTCTAGTATTTATCAAATACAGTGGGTTTAAGACATTACATGAAGCATATAATGAAGGAAGTATTTCTAGGGGATACTAACTAAACATCCACTTGAAACCAAAAGGCATTTTTATAATAGAGGTCGGTCTTTCTCCTTTGAATCCTGCAAGATTCCTCACTTAACTGGAAAAATGTTAGTACACACAGGGTCCCTCTTCAGAATTGGGCTGGGTAAGAGGCACTGTAACTGAGAAATGGCTCTACAGACACACAGACATTGGTGACTTGATTAGGAAAAGTCAAACAAGTAACCACACTGCCAGTGGCATGTTGTTTAGGGGTTACCTATCATTGAAATAAAAAAGCTAAGGTACAGAGAAGCAGACTTATCACTGAGCATGGGTTGTGAAGAATGCTCCAGCTAGGTGACGAGACATCACCTTGTGACAGACAAAAGGTGCCTCTTGTGGGGACAAGACATATTTCTTTTCAAAGTTCCTCTTGAGCTTTCCAATTGGGAAATTCCAAACAAAACAATTTCAGAGTTCTCCAAATTCCTGTGGATGTAAGATGTGGGGAAAAAAAGAAGGAAGCCACCTTGTACTGCTCAGGCTATTGGTAGAAATAAAGATAAAATCCTTGAAAAACTGGTAGAGAAACTGCAGCCACTTCCCCGGGAAGTAACAAAGACTATAATGAAAAATGATTTAAGAACTGATAACAGTACGAATGTGCCAGCAAGAACTAAGGAGACAAGACTATACATCAAGATTTAGCAATAACAGAAATAAAGCAAGCAAGATCACAACGCAGCTTC